TGAAATAACAAGAAGAATTCAGCCTGAATGGATGGTATTTGAGAAGGTCCTAAAGTGGACAAGAAGAAGACGGGCCATCATTAAATAAGCTGTTTTTGTTTTGGTGACTGGAGGCGCTGCTCAATATTAATGAGTGAACTATTTCAAGATGAATCTGTCCTTTCTTGAACAAAAGGGTTTATATGACCAACTTATATCCACAAATAGTTATCACTGGTTTAGGCCTACTATTTTCCAAGCTCATGTGAAGAACTGTGTGCATTACCACTTTTCAGTTCTTGCAAAAAGCATATTATAATGTCTACAACATTTATAAAACTATCACTATACACACATTGCTTTAGCAGCTTCCTATATCACACACATTTCATAATACACATGTATAATTGAACCTCACTGTATTATCTGACATAGGAGATACGAGGGCACTAGGTAGTTAATGACCGAGAAGTCTCCTCAGGGTTGTGCTTGTAACCTCTACATAGAAATGTCTTGCTACAAGGAAGATGGACTGAGCATCACAACTTTGCCAGTGAGGGAACTGCAACTACTGTGTTCAAGGCTACTCAGTGTAAAGCATTGTGGGAGTTATAATTTGTGTCCCCCAAACCATGGGCCAGCTTTGCCTTTTCTATATCTGGCTTCCTGTTCTAGATAGCTCTGATTGTACACATTTTGAAATAATTTGCTCACAAGGTTTAAACTTTGTTTTTAACTTTGTTAAAAATTATATCAGAAAAAATGGGTATCCTAGCCGGGTGGTGGCGGCGCACGCCTTTAAGCCCAGCACTTGGGAGGCAGAGGCAGGCGGATCTCTGTGAGTTCGAGGCTGGGCTGGACCGACAGCCTCCAAAACAATACAGAGAAACCCTGCCTTGTAAAAACAAAACAAAATGGGTATTCTTACTATAAATTAAGTCATGAAACGCAAATTATGCAAGGTTGAGCCCTAAGATGGGCTGGCAAGTCATTCCTATCTGACCAGTAGTGGAGTACCTGCAAAAGTGAGTCTTAGCCTTGACAGAACCCTTATAAGCATTCTTTTGAAATTAAATACTTTCATTATATTTTTTTTGTGTTTTCTAAATTTCCTACAATGAGCAGGTACCGCTTTTAAAAGCAAGTGTTGTGGTGATATTTTGCTTATGATCTAACAAATAAAGCTTGCCTGACGATCAGAGTGCAAAGCTTGCCACACTAGTTAGCCATAGAAGGCAGGTAGTGTTGACACACATCTTTAATCCCTGCACTGGGGAGACAGAGGCAGACAGCTTTTTGTTCATTCAAGGTCACCCTGAGCTACATGAAACTGATCCCGTCTAAAAAGAGAAACAGATCACACAAAGGTGATCTCAGCACTTGTGTTCCCATGCCTTTAGTTCCAGCACTAGAGACGAATACAAGAGAGGAGGATACAGGAGCTCAGAGCAGTCTGAGGTTTGGTGGAGACAGATGCAGTCTGGAGATGCAGTATGAGGACAGGATCGACTTTCGGGTCTGAGATAGCTAGTGGTTGGCTGTTTTGCTTTTCTGATATTCAGCTTTATCCCCAATATCTGTCTCCGGTTTTTTTTATTAAGCCAAACTAGTACACATGCTACAAAGTGTTCACAGAGAATATGGAGCATAGAGCAATCTTAGGTAGTAAAACCACTCTTTACTGTGGGGATTTGAATGAGAATGACCCCAATAGACTCTATATTTGAATGCTTAGTCGCAAGGGCATAGAACCATTTGGGAGGGATTAAGAGGTATGGCCTTGTGGAGCAGGTGTGTCATTGGGAGTGGGCTTTGAGGTTTCAAAAGCCGACACCAGGTTCAGCGTCTCTCTCTCTCTCTCTGGCTGCTTTCTGGAGTCTAGGATATAGAGGTTTCAGCTCCTTCTCCAGCATCTTGTCTGCCTGCAATCCACCATGTCCTGTCATGATGATAATGGACTAAACCTAAGAAACTGTAAGCCAGCCTCAATTAAATATTTTCCTTTACAAGAGTTGCTCTGTCCATGGTGTCTTCTCACAGCAATAGAAACCTGAGCATACTCTCTGAAACTGTAAACAAGTCCCCACTTAATTGTTTTCTTCTATAAGTTCACTTTGTCATGGTGTCCCTTCAAAGAAATATGTCAGTAACAAAGCCATATCTCATTACATTTTGTTTGCATCTATATGTATTATGATATGTCTGTGTATGCACAATCATGAGTGTGGATACACATGCACTATAGTATATGTGTAGTTGTCAGAGGACAACCTCAGGTGTCATTCTTTATTTTCCATCTAATTTGACAGGGTTTCTTTTGCCACTGATTCACATGCCAGTCTACCCATGATCTCTGCATCCCATCTCATCATAGGAGTGCTGGGATTACAAATGTGTGGCACCATGTCTGACCTTATATGGGTTTTGGGGATCTGAATTCAGGTCCTCACACATGTGCAGCAAGCTTTTTACCCTGTTTTTATGGTAAATATGTTACAAATTTATCTAAACATATAGAATATACAACACCAGGGGTGAACCCTACTGTAAGCTACAGACTTTGGATGGTGATGTGCTAATATAGGTTTATCAGCAGTAATAAATGGGTTACACTGGCGGGGAATGTCAACAACAACTAAGGTATTCATATAGAAAGGTGTGTTTTTTTCTTCCTACTAATCTAAAATTATAAAGTTGATCTAAAAAGATAACTTCCTAGAATACTTTGGTTATATTGGGTTAAGTAAAATATGTTATTACATTAAATTCACCAGGTTTTCTTCGTTTCGCTACTAGGGAAGTGGCTGGAATTATGTTTCTATTGAGCCAGCACTGACTGCCCTAGAGTCTGGATTATCTTTTATGCTTTTGTATACTTATACTATGTGCAGAAAGATACACTTTTTTGGTATTTTAGAAAAAGAATTCTTCATTTGTATACTCAGCTAAAAATTATTAGTTACAGAAAATTAGATTTCATTTTTTTAAAAAACTGGGTTTTGTTTTTATTTCCCCCTTTCCCCAGCCCCCTCCTTCCCTTGGGTTCTCCCAGCCTCAGTAGCCTTCATTGCACTTTCATTCCCATAAAACTCTCTTTCCTCCCCATCTTCCTTCCTCTCCTGTGGTCTCCTGTCCAGTCCAAGTCTATACTAGTATTTCAAGCATTACATTTTAGGATTTCTGTATGAGAAAAAAAACACAGGCTTTTTGTCTTTCTGAGAGTGGGTCACCTCACTTAATATGGCACTCTCTATATCCAGTCATTTTGCGGAAAATCTTATCATTTTGACTCAAAGTAAACTTCATCCATCGCTCATATAAAAAGTGACTGAAATACGTAAACAGCTTATACAGATTGCACTTGTGCAAAGGGGCCTGGAGTGTGTTCACATGCATCAAGCTTTTGTGTTGAATGGGCATTGTGTTTATCACACCCTAGCCAAATCACTGGCGTATGAAACATGGGCTCTGTAGACTCTCCTGTGATCAGGAGAGATGAAAAGAACATTAGGAATGAACACAGTGCTGTGGACACGCCTTGTTTTTATTCTAGTGAGTGTTCCTTGGTATTCTATCCCATTCTTGTTCCTGTGGTCACATGTTGCCTGAACAGAGACCTGCATCTAGAGGACCTCTTTGTTCCTTGGCTCCCCATTTGCTCTAAGATAGGCTTCCCCGTGGGCAAAATCAGTCACTGAGTAGTGACCTCCAAAATTTTCTTCTTGCTGGTAGTTTTCCCACTCTAATAAACTAAGTTTTCTTGGGAAGATTTTATTTTGAAGTTTAAACAGATTCTGTTTTAAGTGCTGCATGTTGATGGGGGCATTTGAAAAGCTCCCCTCTCCTTTCCTATTTCTACTCCTCACCTTCATTTTCTCTTAAGCTAGTAAGACTGGGTAACAACATAAACAAACATCTAGGGGTACACAGAGATTTTTCAGCCCTTTCTGATGTTCAAAACCATTTGCAGTCACAACAAAAAAATCTCTGTGAATCAGGCTGACTTCACCTGAGTGGATACCATCTGTTCCAGAAGCCCCACACCTCCTCAGCCTCCCCCTCTCCAGGTCTTGACAGTGACAGGTGAGTAGGGCCCACTTTCTCCCTGCCAAAGAAGCTGTCAGATATCTCTCAGGAAATATTAGCAGGCAGGAAATGGGCTGGGGATGAGGAGGTCTCCACCCATAACCAGCTGCTTAAGTAGTAGGCAGGGGTACCCAGGTCAGCAGATACCACAGACCAATTTACACCACATGCTACCCACTTATGGATTTAAAAAGTGAGGAAGGGACCTGGAATGTTAATCCCCTGTTTTTCCCATGACTTGTGTTTGGAATCCAAAAGAATACAGCAGGAACAGTTGGATTTGGCAGTGTAAAGGGTATTACTAAGCAACTAGAAGGAAGTGAACGCAGCACACACCAAGAGAAGCTGTCTACGCCAAACATTGTGTACCAGTGATTAGATGTCAAGGCCCATCCTTCTCCAAGTGGTGACATCTACACAGGCTTCATAGCTTGCTCATTCAGATATAACCCACAGACAACTTTGACAGATTATCACAAACTTTTGGAGAGGGTGATGGGTGAAGTGGGATAACTTACAAAAAAAATGACTTCATCTTTCTAAAAGTACAATAATACCATCACCTCAGTGGTTTTGTTACAGTTTCTTCTCATGTAGTGTAGAAGAGATTTTTTGGGGGGGAACCCCAGCAAGTCACTATAAGTTTCATTAGTACTCTAAAATAAAAATGTATATTCCTATTTATCTATCCCAGAATTGTTCTTATTCTGCTTTTTAAAGAATGTTTTGCTGTGGCTTTATAAGTGCTTAAGTTCTGGGTTCATAATTTTATGTATGGTACACACACACACATAAACACATACATACACATATACATACACATACAGACACACATACATACACATGCATACACACATACACATACGTGCACATACATATACACACACATACACAATTTTTTTTATTCCCTTACTAGGAGGAAACTAAATGGTTACCTCTGTGAACGTGTGCCGATTGACTTGCAAACCAACTTTTACCACCTCGAAAGGGTTGACCACGACTGCTTCTGTTAGTCCAGATCCAAATCCAGCAATGGCAAATACCTAGAAAAATAAGTCAATAAGTGCTTTAAAAACTGATCATGTATGTTAGATTAAAAGTTCTATTCATTATGAAATGCAGCTGAAGTGAAGACAAGAATGAAGGAACACCCCCTGCTCCAAGTGCATCATATAGCATTACCAAACATCTTGAATTCTTGATTAGATGCTGACAATTCATGGAGAAGAAACTACAGAAGCCACAAACCACATCCTAATGTTTTCAGAATAAAACATTAAAGCCCCATCAACAATGATGTTTTTCTTTAACAAAAGGGGAGGCTGTGTGACTGGTTAAAGGTGGATCCTAAAACATCATCGTGTATATAATGGAAGAGTTTAAGTTGTAAAGGAAGAGCTCCATTTTAAAATGCTACTTAAATGCACCTATTAAATAGAACTACAAATGAAATGTTTATATAAAGTCGCCTTCCAGGTACATAACTGGAAACATTCATATGACAGCTATGTTCTTAGAAGCACTGCTTTAGATTATTAAAAAACAATTATTGTCATTCATTCTGTATCTTATTTTGCTTTTGTTCCCAGCACTGGGGATGGCCTCAGGGCCTTTTATTCAGTAGGCAGAGCTTTGTCACAGAGGTACATCCCACTGTCTTTTGTTCCTTTTTTGTATTTTTTATTTTTAAATTTAAATTAGAAACAAGGTTGCTTCACATGTCAATTCCAGGTCCCTCTCCCTTTCCCTCCCCTCTTCCCGTGCCCTCCCCCAACCCCTCTAGTATCCCCTCATTTCCCCAGGGAGGGTGAGGCCCTCCATGGGGGTGTCCATAGTCTGTCATTTCATGCAGGGCAGGGCCTAGACCCTCCCCCAAGAGTCCAAGGTGAGAGTGAATCTCTCATTGTTGGATGGATGCCCAAAGTCCACTTGTATACCCGGGATAAATACTGATCTCCTACCCAAGGCTCAATAGATTACCTAGGCCTCCTCACTGACACCCACATTCAGGGGTCTTGATCAGTCCCATGCTAGAGTCTCAGCCATCAGTCTGGGATTCAAGAGCTAACCCTTGTCAGGTCAGCTGTTTCTGGGGGTTAAACCAGCCTGTATTTTGTTCTTAAAGGAGTGATCACTCTGCGTTTACACTTAAGACCCAAGTAATAAACACTGTGATCAGGAATGGCTGCTGGTCGTTCTGATGAGCTTCTCTAAAATCTGGAACACTTATCAAAGGAGCATGTCAGATTCTCTTTGTCTGTGTGTTGAGTGTCAGCAATAGAAACCCAACTCTAGCACTTGGGAGGCAGAGGAGGGCAGATCTCTCTGGGTTTGAGACCAAATGGGTTCTACATAGTGAGTTTCAGGACAGCTAGGACAATATAGAGAAACCCTATCTCAAAAAAGAAAAAAAAAGAATTTTAGCAACAGGAAGTAACAATTTTCTTCTACAGATAATGTGAAGTTTTTCTAGAAAATATATATTAGACATGAACACAACAATGAAATCACTCACGCACGCATGCAAGCATAGTGGCAAAGCAAAACCTTCCCCCTCCAAAATCCCTTGCTGCTAAACTAATTCCAGGGAAGACAGAAATCTTCTATTACTTCACTCATTCTTTTCAGTTTCTGAGACAAGGCCTTTATAGGCCAGGTTGGCCTTGAACCCTCACAGTGACCCATCTGCCTCACTCAGCCTTCCAAGTGTTTGGATTACAAGAATGTACCATGCCTGGTTTCAGATGGCCCTTATTTAGTGTCTCTTGTAATCTCAAAGTAAGAGATAAGAAGAGAGATGGGAATAAGAAATGTTCTGTATTATTAAGGTAGAGTTGGGGTTGACTGAGGGCCAAGTGAGAGTCAAGTGAGAGCCACAGAGTGACAGTTGTCAGGAGAGAGGAAGAGCTCTCACAAGGCACCATCTGTGCTGCTGGGGCTGTGCAGTTATCGCAGAACTCAGGATAAGCCAGTTCCCTCATCTGTAAAATAGAATGACATCTCATTCGTCTACGAGAGCCAAAGTAATGCATGGACAGTCTTTTAAATCACTTCCCAAACATGACTGCTCTGGTTTCCCATGAAAAAGAGGAAGAATGAATGGAGTTGCAAACAGATTCTAGGAGAGAAGGAATACTAATGATGTTTTCCGTTTATCCCACTTCATTACAATTTTAAGCGTAATTTGTATAGGGTAACTGACCAAATATTTTCTCATTTATCTCAGACTTCCATCATGGAGGCCAATACGAGGAGAGAGAAAAAATAACCAGTCCCAAACTCTTCTGATTGGAAAAGCTAAAATCCAGATGTTAGGGTTTTATTACTCACTCTGAAACCTTCCAAGTAATTCACTTTTTTGTGCCTCTATAAAGCTCAGCTACATCTGCTGTCAGAACTAGTGTTCAGCAGTCTCTTGTCAAAAGAATTGATCAGATATCAGCAGATCATGTTACTCAGACTGTTGAAGAGACATGCCTTTGCTGTCGGATCTCCAGAGTCCCTGGCTTTCATGTGAGTACCAGAGCATATTTAATAGCTAACTACCTCACTGTATCAAAAAGGAAAAGGGAGTAAGTGAGTTCAAGAAAGGAAAAGGACCGTATATGGCTTGCATGAGTTCATTTAATAGTGGATGGAGTGTCCAGATACTTTTCTATTTCAAATCTTGAGTAAAAAGACCTGTGGTATCTCCTCACATGGTACCCTTGTGCAGCTCTGAAACAGCCAGCAAGTCCTTCGGGGGCCGTATTTTATTTACTCCTATTAGGAAGTCTTTAATCTTCGTTTTCTCAAGATGTTTCCAAAGGAAGATACTATGGAAAAAATAACACACATACAGGTGCACACACTCATGCACACACAAACACACATTTTTGAGACAGGGTCTCATGATGAAGTTCTAGCTGTTCTGAAACTTACTAGGTAGACCAGGTTGGCTTTGCACTCACAGAGATCCATTTTCTTGCCTCTGTCTCCTGAACACTGGGATTCAAGGTGTGCACTACCACCACGATTCCAGGCATGTATTTTAAAACAAAATCTTACCCACCTGAGATTCTGGGCATAACTACTCCTTTCCAGGAGAGCATGCCTCACTCCTACTCTGTTTAGTCAGGAGGGGGGACTGGAAGCTTTATCTAAAAGGACATCCTTTCTAGAAAGTAGGCATCTAAGAATTTTGAGGCTAAGAAAGACTTCTTTGACAATCTGTTTGTCAGAGTAAACATTCTGAAATAAACTTTTACAAGGAAAGGATATATGGTCCTTGATACACAACAGCCTAATCTATACATTTTTGTTTGTCTTTATGATGGTACAAAAATGAAACACAATTCACACTTTAGATTTTGATCTTTTCCCAGGCCAAAAGTGCCATAAACACCCGTGTTGCTGGGTAGAAGAAGCTCTCTACTCTCAGCGGGTTGTCCCTTCAGGAAAGCAAGCAGCCAGTTCTTTAAAGCATATGCAGACACCTATGAGGCTCGGTGGATGTACCCAATGCATCTGGTTTTTTTTTTTTAGCTTACAGTGTTTTCATGATTAAAGAGATGAAGGCAAGAATATTGCCTTTCCAGTAGAATTTTGAGGCTTTAGCAGCCAAACAGGGATTTTCCTAGAGGATAGACGGTACATTGCTATTCAGAGCAATGATGCATGGCATCATATTTCCTTTTACAGATTGGGAGAGGGAGGTTTGGGCAGTTGCTCTCTCTGGAGTTCTCTGTGCACACACATTTGGTAAATACAATTTGACTCACTTTATAAGGAAACAAAGTCACCAGGCAGGGGAAGATGACACAGGGCAATGGCCAGTCACTTGGCAATGGCCTAGTGAGCTTTGTAAAATACCTGAGCTGTGTCATTGTGGGATCACTGTTCTCCCCAGCTGAGTTGTTTACAGTCATTCCAATAAAAGGCCCTTCAGTCTGCCTCTGACCACAGAATGATTTTATCCCAAGTGACTTTAAGTCCTATATTTACTACAGCTTGAGCAACAGCTGGGAAACTGACCTGTTAGGAAATAATCACAGGCATATTAACTTTTGCATAAATAGATACACACAGTGTGTATGTAAACAAATGCATGCTTTGGTTTCCAAAGGTGAATGCAGTCTTTATTTTATATCCTTGACCATATCTCATAGAGGCCTTTCCAGACATATCGTTATTATCATAAATTCATCACTGGGAGCTATAAAATAGCCAGATTGTGAGTTATTATGAAGATGGCTTTCAACAAGTAGCTGAACATTGAATAACTCAAATTCATATTTTAGTAGCTGGGATTTGGGAATCAAAAGGGTTTTTGTTTCAGGATTTTGCTTTATGAAATAACATACACACTTAAGTATAATAAATATTCTCACTTACCAGGCCTGGTGATAGTGACACATATTCCAGCAATTTCTTGTATTGCTCAAAGGTGGAAAACTGTGAAGCAAAACCAAACGTAGAGATTTATAACAATTTCCTGCAACAAACTCTCTAATTGGCTAAAAGTCCTTCAGTAAATCATTGCATTAATCAGCATTTAAAAATGATGAACCATCTCACACAGCTTTTAATCCTGTCTGGGGCTGTTGCTGGAAGATGTCGATTTAACATTCCCATTTTTCACATGTAGTTATAATAACTTACAGAAAATCTGATGGAATCCCTTATAGCAGTAAATGAACCATACAACTTCCATTTACCATGACCATTTTCAGTTTCCCCAGACATCAATAGACTTCTTTCTTATGGCAGTGATTCAAAATTATAGGCTCAGAGACCTGAAATCCTTGGTCTTATATGTTTTTTCTGTGAACCACTTTCCAAGAAAATGCCCCATTTTCTAACACACTTGTAGAAGACATCCATTCCTTAGCCTTGCGTGTATAATGCTTGTTCTGCTTATAGCTCCACAGATTTTTTTAAACATTGTGATTGCAAAGATGCCGTGATAAACTAGGGAAGGGCTCACCAAGTTTATCTAGTTCACCTCCTTGTATCAAAGAAAGACTGTTGTTCCCAACATTATTCCTTCCTTTAGGATCTGAAGATGAGAACAGTGAAGAACAGGGATCCATAACTGATGGTACCTTCAGAGGATGATATTCAGTTGTACAGATGCATTTTTCAGGGCAAAATGAAATAATTCCTTAATATAATATATTTCTTTTGTTTTCATTCCCTGTATTCTGTATTTTGGGAAGCAAGTCTGTTTGGGCAGGGTATTTTTCTTCTGAGTACTGAACTGGGTTACTACCAACATCAATGATAATAAGTTGTACTCTTAGGACCTGCAGTGTCTGAGTCTCAAGAACCAAGAAATGGGATGGTAAATCATGGTATTACTTTATAGCTTAATAAAATAAAGCAAGGTAAAGAAAAAAAGTACAGTTTGGGGGACTAGTTACACTCTATCATTACGAAGAGCTGGTTTCTTGTGTACATGGTCTGTGGAATCTTTGAATAGTCCAAGAATCATTTAATAACAAGTTGACATTTCTTATTCTTTTAAAGAATGAAGTAATTGCCATGATATTTTAGATGAAGTATTGATAGTCTTTTCTTTAACAAGAATTTGTTCATTCAATTACTAGATATTTATTAGATTCCTGCCATTCTAGGCTCTCCGAATACAGTAAACACATCATGCATACCCTGCTTTCCTGACCCCACATAGTAGGCACTATTGCTCTTTTGATGAGAGACACATTAGGAACCATAGAAGTCATTCCAGAAGGAAAAACAAAAGTCTTAGGCATGTTTTGTTTGTTTGTTTGAGACAGACTCATTATGTAACCCAAGCTAGCCTAGAACACACCATTGCAGTTTTCATTGCACTTGAACACATGGCAATCTTCCTTCTTCAGCTCTTTAAGTGTTGAGATTAGAGGTGCGTGCTACCCACTTGGTTCTTTTAAAGAACATTTACTTCTTTTTTTGATTGTCATCACCATCGTTGTGTTTAGACCATGACTTTGCCAGAACTTTGAAGTGAACACTAGCTATGCCATGCCACTTCATCATGACAGCATGAGAGCATCACTTCAACTATCGGACCATCAACTGCAAAAACCTTAGCTATCAGAGTTGTCATGAAATAGTATGGTTTAAGTAGGATTCCCTGACATGAGACTTAGAAAAATTTGTTTCTGTTTCTTGTCTGTACTTATATTAACAGAGGAACCACTGATGCTTAAATCATGAACGTCTACTGTGGTCCAGGAACATGCATGTACTACTCTGGTGAATTCATATGACAATTTTATCAGACAAGAGGATAGGGTATGGGCTGTGGTTACTCCTCAGTAGTAGTGTGATTACCTAGCACATACAATGCCCTGAGTTAAATTTCTAGTTTTTTAAAAAATGAGGGCTAGGATGTACTCATGAGCTACATCACATTATAGTCATTATGTTGATATCCTGTCCCAAGTACCATTTTGGAAACAATTATCTATGCTGGCATTGGGTCCTGAATGTTTTGGGAGGTGATGGGCCTTTTAGAAATCTCTACTACCCTGGTAATGTACTGTATGAGATGCATTTGTTCAATGTTTGTTTGACTTTTTCTTATTGGGCTGTCATTTCAGGGGTTAAAGACAAAAATAGGATGTCGATGAAGTATAGGGACATGGACTCAGTCCACAACTCTTATCAGTGCTCAATGAAGGTTTTCAAACATAAACCTGGGGACAATTCTAGTTTTATTTTCTTGTCTCCATTTTTCTTTTTGTTTTCAGAGTATGATCATTAAACAACCCACTGAGAAACTTTACATCCTAGATGTTCTGTTATCAGACACCATTGAGTTGTATGAGAGCATGAGCCTTTTAAATCTTGCTTCTAAGAAGTGGGAGCTGAGAAATGCTCCCCACAACACTCATGTCTATTCTAATGGCAAGACCCTTATGAGCACTCTTCTCATTGCCCTTGGAAAGCAGAGGCTTCCAGATGGATTGGCAGGCACAGGCCCTGTCCCTAGCCCCGTGCACTAGCAAGTTCTGATTCGCTAGTCCTCTGGGATAGTTATTTCCTGGGTGGTAGTTCTCTCATGGGCTCAAACTACCAATACTTGAGGGGGGTTTCACTGAAAATCTCTCTCTCTCTCTCTCTCTCTCTCTCTCTCTCTCTCTCTCTCTCTCTCTCTGTCAGCCCCAGTAACATTACTATTCCTAGAGTCGAATCTTTACTCAAGGAGTTTATTGGGTTCTGCCTGTTTCTCCTTCTTACTTAGGGCCTAGAAGCCCTCTCAAGACAGCACATTGGGACATTCATAGGGCTCATCTTGCTTGTTTCCCAGATGTTACTGTTATTCATTGTGTGTTGTCAGTATCTTTAAACAAAACTGTTGTTTCATGTACATTGTTTATTGCTGCCATTCATGATGTTGCTCTCGTAGGAGTGTTAGTCTGGCTGTTACTGCACCTTCAACAGAAGTGGAAGTCTGGGTCTTCAAGATAATTTAAGTAGTACATGTGGGGATTTGGAGAAATGGAAGAGATTATCTCCAAATATTAACCTTTTCCCCTACAAATTTCTTCCTGTTTCACTTACTCATTTGAACATCAACTATGTGTAGATGCCACAGGAGGTATAGATATACAATAGTGAACAAACAGACTTCACATGCTCGTAATCTCCCATGAGTTTGGGCAGGGTCAAGAGTCCTGGAACATTTGAACATAGAAAACTATTGTCTTTCTGGTACTGGGAAGCTGAATAGCAGACCCTAGAACCCAGAACACACTGTCTCCCATCTCTCAGTGTTTCTGCCTGAGTCTTCATTTCTTTTCGTTAATTGCAATTTGATTCCGATCTTAATTTTTGGAAAGAGAAATATAGCTTATTTACAAGTCTTACTATTTTAATGATGAACCGCATTTCAAGGAATAAAATACAGACAAGCATAAAGTTGCTTGTTTCTGATTATGGTAACAATTGTAACTAAAGTGTCCATTCTAAGAAAAGCATACATACATGGTGTATGCATGTAGGTGTGTGCACATGTGCTTGTGCGTGCACACACACACTTACACACACACACAGGAATTACTGAATATTTTATTCAGAGGTAAACTTCAATGACACACAATGAGATAGTTTATGAGGTATGAAATTGTTACAATCAGATGGTTGCTTCACTCCCAAATCCTAAGATAAATATCTATAAAATGAATGTTTTCATAAATTGTGTTGGAAAGCCAGTGTTATCCATCTGGCAAAGATACACTTAACTACAAGTTCTACTTAAAAAGCCAATGTACTTACCATATGTCTCAATAATTTTAAGGTAAAATCTACTTGCAACAAGATGTCTGGTACACATCCACCGTATCCAGTTGCCCACAGTTCATCTGTTAACCATTGTTCTGGCACAGAGCACTGCTTTATTTTATTTTTTTCAGAGAGTAACCCAGTTTTGTAAAGCTCAAGGTTTTTATTTTCTTCGTCTTTTTTGTAAGGGATTGTTCAACATTGATAAAACTTAATCCTCTTAAAGTGTAAATTGTCTTCAATATATAGCATTAAGGGAAATGACGGCAGGAAGAAGTCTAATTACAATTTACTTTATTTATACACGGAAAACACTGAACAAATGAATATATTATTTCAGGGAGACAAAGTGACTTTCCTTTTGAACAGGAACTCTTCTGTTTGTTTACTTGGGCAATCTTTTATCAAGTGAAGCCGTTTCATAATTCAATTCAGCCCTTTTGTGTACTTTGGTGAACTTTTTCCAGATCCTCTACTGCAATTCAGATTCTTATAATGGAATTTGTATTGAGGCAATAATATGAAAGCACAAAACTGCAGCAACAAAGAAGACACGTTTATAGAGAAAGCATGTTTTGAAGCACTCTCTTCTGAACTTGAGACCTGAATTTAAATTCCATTACCTTACTATTTGACATAATGCAAAAGTTTGATGTTTGTATACATATGCTGGTTATTTCATCATGTTTTAAAACCCAGTCAGCCCCTTGATTTACTCAGTAACAGCATGAAAGCCATTCCTTCTTGCCTTTCAGGAATATCAGGGATAGAAATTGAGTATGTGAAAAAGCTTTATGCCATTAAAATAAATGGCATAAAGTTGGAAAGGAAGTCTTTACGTCTATGTTTATGTTATTTTTATATAAAGACAAAGCCATATTTGGTGATGTCAGCGATGGGGGTAGGTGGGAGGGCTACGCCAGTCAGGGCTACTGCAATAAGGATTTTTGCCTGATAGAACACGTGGGAAACAGTGTGGAGGTCTTTTATCCTTTGAGGGTCTGGCACACAGTCACAGTCACACACTCAGCACTAGCAATTAGTACATAAACCTCCAGAGCTACACATTAAAGAAATGGAAATCATAATTTTGTAAGTACCAGAAGAGAGTTTTAGTGGAAAATATTAAAGGGAGAAATAAAGTTGACTTTCCCAAAACATTAAGAATCATACACACAAAAATAGTATATTTTTGTGAGACAGAAATGATTTCAGGAGTGATTTTCCACTTCTTTTTCTTTAATACTCATTGCTCCAAAGGAACATTTCTGAATGCAGTTTTGTGGGTTATGTGATTTAATTACTTGAGTTTCATACACTGCTCTCTCTCTCTCTCTCTCTCTCTCTCTCTCTCTCTCTCTCTCTCTTTGTGTGTGTGTGTGTGTGTGTGTGTGTGTGTGTAATTTCCTCATTAGAAAGAAACAGCTTTGCCTGAAAATAAAACCCTACAAATATGTATATTTGAGATAACGAACATGTCTAATTATAACACAGATTATGCTACAATTTCTGCATTAAAACTTTTAGTGTTTTCTGTTAAGTAAAATTAGTGTTCCCTTGATTACTATAGGTATCTTGATACTGTGTGTACACTTGGTAAGAAAGTATACAGTACTTACCTTGACTGCTCTCTTTGGTGTTTCAACTAAAATGGGTGGTAGAATTCCTTTGTAAAAGCCAAAAAACCTATTGGAGAAAGAAAATATTTTCATATAAGGAAAGTGACATGCTTTTGTTTATGAATAAAAAATGACTATCTAATCTAGCACACCAATGACGAAGCTTGCAATTTTAGAGTGAATATAAGAATTCTGTGGCTATCACAGCTATGGCACTGAGAAGATGGCTAAGTGATTTCAAGTCTGGAACTCCATAAGTAAACTGAGAAATGTGGCCACAACCTCTACCTCAGAGACAAGATTGATTCCTCTTAATCCAAGGGAGCTCTATTTTCTCTGTGTTGTAGGTCACTTCAACTTATCTAAGGTCTTTTATTTAAATTTTGGTAACCAAATGAGATTAGGGTTATACACAAATATAGTAGATGTAACTTTTAATTTTGGTTTTATTAATTCTGAGTCTCTGAGATTAGGTCCCCCATACCATCATGGGTCAGTTTTGAACTTCCCAGGAAGAGGAAGAAGTGTGAGGAAGGCCAGGTTTGAGGTTATGTAGACTGGCAGAGGAAAAGTCCTTCCATGTCAACGTTGAGGATACTGTAGACAAGAATACATTTTGCATGCATGTCAAACGCTTTTAATTAAAACTCATCATTTTTTTCTTACTAGATTTTAGGAGTCAAAAATTTAAACTATACTGTCTAAGAAACTTAATCCACATACCAGATGTCCCTTTCCACCTTGCTATCATACAAATAGAATATTTTGCTCTATTTTCTGAAATAATCAATCTTCTTGATGAGTGAATGCAGAGAAGGGCAATACTCAATATGTCTCTGACTTAGGAAGCTTATTTGGCATGGGACAGAAGCTCCTCTCATTGAGGCCAAGCTTTGCTTTAATTTCCTCACATTGAGTCTGCTTTTCTTTATGTTTCTAGAACAAAATGTTGAGAGCTTACTCCAGCTTACCTGTGTCACCCAAACAAACATGCTGACCTCTTGCTTTTACCAACCCATTGACTTAAATGCCCAGCTTAAGGAGAGAGCAAAGGTTTGGGTTGGTTCTAAATTGTTAGTGCCTTTAGGGTGGGGGACTTTGTGGGCTCTCACCTTAGAGTCCTTTTTGAGCATATAACAAAATTTTGTTAAGTATGACTCCTGGATACAGGCTTACTTTGTCAACTGGTTTGACTCAATAGAGCATATGAGTGTCATGATTGGAAATAAAGAAAACTCAATTTGAACTATCACAAGATTTGCAAATTGTCAAGTCCTATTTCATTCTCATTTTAACTACTGATGCCTCCAATTTTCACATCCCCCTTAATGCAACATGCTTGTAAAACTTAAATACTTTTAGTCATTTACATTTCACTTAAGCAAATTACTTTTCATTCTAGCACAATAGTACAGTTTTGGTCTTCCCACTAGATACATGTAATTTTTGTGACTAGAAGTATTACAGTTGTAATTAAAGTAGTTACTAGTATTGTTCTTTGTGCAGATATTTTTATATCTGAAAAATGATTAGTAAATATGAGGGGAAATTAAGAGGAACACATGAGAAAAGTTTTAAGAATGGAGTATTCAAGGTAATGGTGGACTTTATGCCTTATATTACAGAAGCAGAGAGCAGTCAGAAAGAACAGATACTAAACTAGACAACAATCTTAGGCAGAAATGCAGTGAACATGATGGCTCTCTTGAAAGGCAATGCAAGTGAGGAAGATATTGGAATTCCCTTGTTTCCAGGTGGAAGAATGGGGCCAAGAGGTTGAGGCAACAAGGAAAGACAGATTTTGGACAGATGGATTTCAATGAAAGCACTTTTTTTTGAAGACAGTGTTTCTCTGTAGCTTTGGAGCCTATCCTAGAACTCCATGTGTAGACCAGGCTGGTCTTGAACTCACAGAGATCTGCTTGTCTCCGCATCCTGAGTGCTGGGATTAAGAAAACACTTCTAATATGCAAAAATGTTCAGAAATAGAACGGCTTTTCCTGAAAAGTGGTGAGTTCTATGACATATGATCAAACAATCTGGATGTCCACTTGTCATGGGTACCAGAGATGAAATGTATTTGGCAATGGGTGGGCTTGTTGATTCTCAAAGTTTTTCTCAATCATCAGATTCTATAATCGTAAGAGGAGAACAAGAGAACACAAGAAACTTTGCCTTACTTGAGACTTTTGTCTCCAGTATAGAACGGCTTCCATGGAAGAGGAAGTCTTGTGAGTAACACAAGGACTTCATTTTAAAAGTGATGGAAGAAAATGTTAAAAGACGTGTAAGGCAGGAGGGAACAGCGAGGCAGCTGGGAGTAACATAAGGGTTTCATCTGTAAAGAGCTGGGAGGTTCAGATCTCTCTGCTTCATTGATGTGGCCCCCTTCCTTCTCCTCTGCTCAGCCCCTTCTACGTACAGTAACCTTGTCTCACCATCCTGAAGTTTAAAACAGTACATGAGCAGTTATAACTGAAAGTTCTAAGGGATTCTAGGCAGCTCTGGGTGGTAAATAAAGCTCTAGATTTTCACAGACTATCCATTTAACATAGTCTAGTTACATATAGATCACTTTTGTGCTGGTGGAAATGCCAACATTGTCACACATGCAGTCTATGAAAATGATGGTAACCAATTTATGAACACAGTAGGAGACAGCTGGCATGCAGGGCTTGGTCAGACACCTTGTTCAAATGGACCTAATAGTCACATTCTAATTCTTTAATGCAATTCAAGCTAGACCTATTTGATTTTTTTCTTCAGGATTTAGGAATTGGCACTGAAAACAAAAGTCTTGTTTGGTGTGGTTAAAGCTCTAAAATATACAACCAAAATATCAACAGTAGACATATGTCTGTCATTTGAAGGAAGCCAATCTGCTGTGGTGGAAGAAGAAAGAAAAAGAAAAAGGAAAGGAAAGAACAGAACAGAAAAGAAAAGAAAAGAAAAGAAAAGAAAAGAAAAGAAAAGGCAGCCCCTATTCAGGAAAACTAGAAGCAAGAAAGGGAAGAGATTCTGGTCTGTGATTATGACTCTACCACCAGGATTTCTTTGGACTTAGTTACATATAGATCACTTTTGAATATTTCCCTCTGATATTAGTTCTCTGAGATACCCTATAACATCTCCAGTAAAATTTCACTTAAATACAATTGAACTATGTTGGCTACATATAGTTCAGAGTCCTGGTTCCAGAAATTATGCCTAAAGGTCGAATGGCCAAAATGGCTTCCGTAGGCCTTCTATGCTATGTCCTCTTAGGATCAATTAAAAAAAACCTGTAAACATTGTCCCTTGGGACAACAGGAAAAGTTGCATAAAAATTGTGGGAAGGAGAGTGTGAAGAAGTCCCAAGCTGATGCTGTCTCTCTGGCTTGATTATGTAGTTGGTTGAAGTTTCGTTTTGGAAAATAGGGTGCATGGATTTAAAAACTTCAAGGATGAATGACTTATTTTGTGACTTTCTTTCTTTTTCTTTTTAACCAGTCTTTAGTTTAACTTTAATAGACACATAATAATTGTATATATTCAAGGGATCAGTGTGATAATTCAATGCATGTATACTTATGTAGTATCAAACCACAGTAATTAGCCTATCTAGCTCCTTATGCATTAATAATTCCCCTCTCTTCGGGACCTTTGAACTCCCTTCTATTCTAATTTTTTTGCAGTTTGTTATTACCTTTTTTCTTTTATTTTTAACATTTTCCCCACTCCCCTTTCCTTGTCCCTTTTCCACTTTCACCCTCCCCACCACCCATTATGCTCCTAATTTACTCAGGAGATCTTGTCTTTTCCTCCTTCCTAGGCAGATCCATGGATGTCTCTCTTTGTTACCTAGGTTCTCTGGGGTTGTGGCCTGTAGGCTGGTTGTCCTTTGATTTATGTCTAATATCCACTTATGAGTGAGTACATATTTTTATTTATTTTTCTGGGACTGGGTTACCTCACTCAGGATGGCTTTTTCTAATTCTGTTCATTTGCCTGCACATTTCAAGAAATCATCGTGTAAATTTTTTTTGTTTTTGCCTCTGCCTTCCAAATTCTGGGATTAAAGGCGTGCTCCACCAATGCCCAGCCTCATTGTATAAATGTACCACATTTTTTTTTATCATTTCATTGGTTGAGGGGCATCCAGGTTGACTCCAAGTTCTGGCTATGCAAACAATTCTGCTATAAATACAATTGAGCAAATTTCCTTGTGGTGTGATTGTTCATCCTTTGGTTATATGTCCAAAAGTGGTATTACTTGGTGAAAGACATTTCTACCCTTGTCTAGAACTATGTGCACTGTCCATTTCATGTGGTTCTGGCTTGTTGTATGAGTTTAGTTTGCTATGTTTCAGAGCAAAATTAGTAAAGCAAAGAGATTGGTGACACTCATTTTAACATGGCTCATCTCATTTATTTCTTGAGAGGCAGATATCTGCTTTTAGTGCTGAATAAATAGTGAGATTGCTCTTGTTCATGAAGCCTTGCTTACAGTTCCTCCCATGGTAAGACAGTTAACAGGCCACTCTTCTTTTAAGATGAACCTATATCAAGCTAAATAGAAAAATCTTTGGATGAGGCTTAAGAGTCACTACAAGACAGCTTATAACAGTGGACTATAAAATTTGGAGCTGGCGAGATGACTCAGTGGTTAAGAGCTGTTGCTGCACTTGTAGAGAACCAGAGTTTGGTTCCCAATACCATTCCAGGAAGCTCACAACCACCTCTAACTTCGGCTCCAAGGGATCCAGGGCTCTCTTCTGTCCACTTTGGGTACTTGTACTCATGTGTACATATTATCATGCAGACACTCCCACCCCACTCACCCCCCCATAATCCTTCACCTACATATAATTTACTTTGTAAAGTAATAGGCTCCATATTATGGCCCACGACTCTGGCAGCTTTACCAAATACACTGAACCTGATAGAAGTGGGGGATAACCTTGGACACTTTGGGACAGGAGACAACTTCCTGAACAGAACACCAATTGTACAAACACTGAGATTAACAATTAATAAATGGGACCTCATGAAACCGAAAAGCTTCTGTAAGGCAAGGGACACTGTCAA